ATCCTATTTCTAACCAAATGTCCATTCCTCTAACCCGACGGCTCTGTCTCTTCTTGCTTCTCTCCCCAGAAGGACCCTAAACAGTAGGGATCCTGTTCTCATCCCACCACATTTACATCCATATCAAAACCCCTGTCTTTCCTTTACAAAACCAAAATGTGGCACACATACACCATGGAATACTGTGCATCCATAAAAAAAGAGTGAGTCCTCTTGTCCTTGCAGGGACATAGATAAAGCTGGAAGCCATCATCCTCAGCAAACTAACACAGGAACAGAAAACCAAACACCGCATGTTTTTCTCACTCATAAGTGGGAGTTGAACAGTAAAATCACATGGGCAAAGGGAGGGGAACACCACACACTGGGCTTGTCGGGGTAGGGGGCAAGGGGAGGGAGAGCATTAGGACAAATACTTAAGCATGTTGGGCTTAAAATCTAGATGACAGGTTGATAGGTGCAGCAAACCACCATGGCCATGGGTATACCGTGTAACTAACCTGCACATTCTGCACATGTATCCCAAACTCAAAAAAATTTTAAAAACAAACCTCGGAATCAAGATTGCTACCATATTGTGTTGGATTTTAGCAACAGCATTCGAAAGCATTTGACTTTTAATTCACCTTTCTTGTCAAGTCTTTTACAGAATTTGCTATCATGATTTTCCCAGTTAAAAGAGAGCAGTGTGAGCGTGTTCTTGTACATACAAAATTGAAGTCACTTCTACTTAAAATATAGATAGACTCCCAGGGAGACAATAAGGATGGACGTTTCCACGATGGAAAGATGATTTGCATTCGTTTTGCAAGGTGATGGCTGTTTTATCTGTGGCACAGTGCACATATATGACATGCACAGACTGCTGCCTTCTTACAAACACTGTTACCAGCACCCAGATGAAAATCTCCTGGCAGTCCCTCTTCAGCTAATTTCCAGGCAGTAACCCCAGGAGATACCTACTCTGATCATGATCAATGTATTTTAAATTTATTTTTAAACATCATACAAAAGCAACCTACAGCATGTACTCTTTGTTTCTGATTGAAAATTATATGTGAATATGTGAATTTCACCCATGTTCCACGTGATGAAACATCTGTCATTTTGTACTGCTGAGTCAGTATATAACATTGTAGAAAGTTGGCACAATTAGTTCACACCTCTGTGTTTTTTACATTCACTCTGCTGTTTCTCATGATGGTTGCTTGAAACAAGGCTGTAAAGTTCACAATTAGTTCACACCTCTGTGTTTTTTACATTCACTCTGCTGTTTCTCATGATGGTTGCTTGAAACAAGGCTGTAAAGTTCCCCAGGTGGACAACATCATCCTTGGCTCATGTCTCTTGAACATAGGTGGCGGGAGTAGGACTGTGGGGTCACAGGTGCTGATGACTGTGGTACACACTAGAAAGCCATTTATCAAAGTGGTTGAAACTAAGTATGTTCCCAGAGTAACATGACAGTTCAAGTTCCTCCACATCCTCACCACCCTTTGCATTTTTGTCTCTGATAGCGTGCCTATTCTGGTGGGTGTAAGAGTGAGAACCTAGTTTCAATGTGTACTCTGCTAATGACTTGTGTGCTGAACTCGCTGAGTTTTCTAGGATTCTGATAAGGCACATAACCTTATGAGCTCCTGAATGGCTATTTAAGGTGCTTTGTTAGAAGAAGGATCCAATAGGCCAAATTGCAGAGGGATATGGAACAATGGAAAGATATTAGCAAGGACAATCTAGATTTCAGAAAAAAAAAAATAGAAAAGACAAATAAATGGAAATGTCACTAAAAATGGACAAATATCACAACAAAGCAATTTAGAGAAGGCAAAATGTGGATGGATAAAAGTCAAATGAACACGTTCTGATCCACCTGAGGTGAAAGAAACCCCTGTGGAACCCAGCACGTCTGTGTGGGAGGAGCTGCCTGGAACAGCAGAGAACAAGGCAAAAGGGCTTGCGGGGGCAAAATGGGAGTGACAGGAGCTGCCAGAGCCCCCTCAGCAGGAAGCCAGGGAGAGGGCTTGGAGATCAGACAGCCAGGGGCAGGGGCAGGCAAAACCTTGCCCTAGAATTGTGCAGTTACTTCTGAGTCAGGCATGAAATCAGTCAGTGTTGAGCAGACAACTAACGATGCAATTTAAAAAATAAAAATAAAACAAATTTCCAGTCAGGCTGTGGAGCTTCAGAAGCTCTTACTCACAACTGGGATATTTATAAGGTCAGTCATCCGGCAGGACGTCCCTCAGCACATAGTAACATTAAGTGTGCACCCTCCATGCGGCTAGTCCACTGTGGTTCAGAGATGGAGGAAAATGAGCAGAAGAAAGTCCTCACTGGTCACGTGTTATTGGCAGCAAACCTGGCTGCTCAGCACAAGGGTTTATAAGTAAAGTGTAGCTTACGCAATGCTGACCTGTTGGAAGGGATGGAAATGGTTCATATGCACATATGGATGAAATTAAATGTTTAAGTCTGAGTTTAAATCTCAGAAAAAAATAAAAAATTAACCAGATGAGGTCTAAAAAGGAAAACTTATTTGCTTAAGAAATATGTGTAGAGATGATTTGGAAGTCGAAGTGGAACCACATGATTTACACTTGAGTTGGTGATTCAGAGATGGAGGAAAACATGAGTTGAAATGGTTATAAAATATATGAAAGAGAGGCCTTTAGGTGGCTGATGGTGAGAGTGTTAATAATGTGAGTAAACTCTGTACTTCTGGGTCCCAGGAAAAACCGACAGATAGTGCCTGCCACACATGCTCTGCTGGCACAGCTGGCAGGAACAAGTGACCTCCCTTCAACCCACGTCCCCTTTTTTCAGGATTCCCGGCTACCCTAGCCCCTCTCTGACATCGTGAGCAGCTTCAGAAAGGAGGATGAGGACAGCCAAGGCTCTCCACCTGAGATTCCCTGGTGTGCCAGAGGCGGGAAGGCTTTGGGGTTGGAGGGCAGTATGGGACAGTGAGGGACACTCCTGAGATGGCCTCTTTCAGCTGGAAAATGACTCAGAGCTTCCATGGGAGTTTGGTCATCGGAGCCCACTGGGTAGATTTGGGTGGCAACACTAACTGCTAGGACACACCTTCAGCCCACCAGGTTAGCTGTGAGAACTCAGAACAGAGGGGCCCAGGAAGACGCAGCTCTAACTTAAATGCAGTGGCTCTGCTCCCATGAAGGTTTTGGGAGATGTAAGGTGGCTTCAGAAAGCTGAGGCTCCACAGCAAATGTGTCAGGAAGTGGAGAGGCATCTGAACCATCCCCAGGGCTTGTCTTTACCCTCCTCCCTCACTGCACAGAGGAGGGGGCACCCCACCTAGGGACAGGGATCCACAGTCAGCTCTGCTCCATGCACCCTCCCTCCTCACTACGCTGCTTCTGACCCACAGTCCCTCCCCTCTGTCCAATTTAGGGTCTGTGGCCCAGGTAGAACCAACTCTGCCACCCTCAGCATCCGAAGGTTCAATGTCACAGCTGTCTGCACCGAGGACAGCAGCAACACTGGCAACGTTGACAGCTGGGGCCAACACGACACCACGCTGTGAGCATTTCCTGTCACTCTGTGCTTTGTAAGTCATATTCTTAAAGGGGACTTCTGCTATGCCAGATAGTTTCAATATTTATGTAGACCAATGCTTTCTTCTCAAGATCAGTGTTTTTGTGTCCTAAAACTATACATATATGCATATGTGTGTGTATATATATATACACACACACAAACTATATACTTAACTGTATACACGTGTATGTGCATGTATATACAACTGTGCATGTATATACATACACACATATGTATATAGTTGTATATATACACATACACACATATATGTTCATAAAAAAACATTTGAATAATATCTCAAAGTTCTGTTAAAAACATGAATGGCTTAATATTCTAGTGCTAAATAAGGGATGGCTTTATTTAAAACAGTTTTCATTAGATTCCAGTAGAGTGGGGAGAGTCGCTCCTTTAAATGGAAGCCTCTGGAACCCGGAGAGAGCAATGGTGAAGAGCTACCAGAGGCATAGGCATGCATGAAGCCCCAGCAGTGGATGATGCCCCAGGCATGGATAATGCCCCAGGTGTAAATGATGCCCACCTGTGGATGATGCCTCAGGTGTGGATGATGTTCCAGGCGTGGATGATGCCACAGCAGTGGATGACGCCCTAGGCGTGGATGATGTCCCAGCAGTGGATGATGCACCAGCAGTGGATGATGTCCCAGGTGTCGATGATTCCCCAGCAGTGGATGATGCTCCAGGTGTGGATGATGCCACAGGCATGGATGTCCCAGTAGTGGATGATGTCCCAGGCATGGATGATGTCCCAGCAGTGGATGATGCCCCAGCAGTGGATGATACCCCAGCTGTGGATGATGCCCCCAGTGTTGATGACGTCCTGGGTGGGGATGATGTCCCAGGTGTCATGTCCCAGCAGTGGATGATGCCCAAGGTGTGGATGATGCCCCAGGTGTGGATGATGCCACAGCAGTGGATGATGTCCCAGCAGTGGATGATGTCCCAGCAGTGGATGATGCCCCAGGTGTGGATGATGCCACAGCAGTGGATGATGTCCCAGCAGTGGATGATGTTCTAGCAGTGGATGAATGATGCCCCAGGCGTGGATGATGCCACAGCAGTGGATGATGTCCCAGCAGTTGATGATGCCCCAGGTGTGGATGATGCCCCAGGTGTGGATGATGTCCCAGCAGTGGATGATGCCCCAGGCTTGGATGATGCCCATCTGTGAATGTCCCTGATGTCTCAGCCATGGATGATGATTCAGCTGTGGATGATGCCCCAGCCATGGATGAAAGCCAACAGTTGTTTTCAAGAAAAGTCTAGTACACAAGTCATTAGTGAGATTTATCAAGGAAAAAGGGAAATCACAAAATTAGTATCAGAAATTAATAGGAAGACATAACCACAGAGAGAGTAGAGATTACAAAACAATGAGTGAACATTATGAATACATAACTTGTTTTAAAGCAACATTTTGTTTCACTTTGGCTGGTGGTGTCCATATGCTGCAGTAGCCGGCCAATAGTGGGAGTCTCCTCATGGAGGAGGCTTGGGTTGAGGCTGAGGGCCTTTAACCCGCATGCACAAGAGAGTTGCCATGAGGGGATGGAAACCAGGCTACAAACCAAGTGCTGCACAGAGTTCCTACCTGTCCCTCTCCCTCACCATTTTCAGCTGGCCGGGTTTGAGCATTTTAGGGCTTGGGAAGATATTACTACATCTACTAAAAATCATCACGGATCCTTATGTGCTTTGGCCAGCTGCTGAGCAAATTAACTTCACACCTGAAGTGGGCTGCACTGGCCTGTGCGGTCCCCCACTCCTCTTAGAATTTGTGAGCTTGGGGCCTGCTGGAGGGTGGACGGTGGGAGGAGGGGGAAGATCAGGAAAATAACTGATATTAAGCTGAATACGTGGATGATGAAATCACCTGCACAACAAATGCTTCATGACGCACGTTTACCCATGTACCAAACCTGCTCATCCCGCACAGGTTCCAAAAATTAAACAAAAAACGACCTGTGAGCTGACCCAAACAAACATCTTTGTGCTTTTCACACTGATGACTATGCCGGTCTGTGGGGAGATGTACCTGTAACTGCCCTGGGTTGTGTGACCATGGAGGCCACTTTATAACCATGGGCAGTGTCTGGGAATTCCTTAGGGCTTAAACACGAATGCTGGACTCCCTGCATGGTGGTCAACACCCCATGACTGAGAGCATGCCAGTAGTTGCCAGTGTCAGCACTGGCCTAGACTCCTGGGTTTGTGTTTTCACTTTTTCATTCAGGAACTCAGGAGCTGGGGCCACCCCCTGGCCCTTCAGGTTCTCCACCTGAGCTGTGAGGATAATAAACCAGACCCAGGGATGGCTCTGGTGAGGGTGGAGGAGTCACTGTACAGACAGAGTAGAGTGGGGCTGGATTTTATTCTTTAAAAGTAGACACCGGAGAACGGGCTGTGTAAATGGGAAATCTCTCCTGAGAAAACACACAGCCTCACCTGCACAGAAGCACACACGTTCACATCACATGATGCAGCCTCACACAAGACACCACCAATCCTAGAGCACCCAACTCAGTACCAGCCAAAAGGGAGCACAGATGCTGCCTCAAAATTTGGCCATGATTTTTCCCCGGGGAACTCAGGTTTCTAAAAAACACTTTCACTATGCTTATTCCTATCACAATCCCAGAATCAGCGTGGCACTGCACATTGAAACCAGCTTTTTTCTTGACAATAATTCCAGAATACTTACCAGAGTCACACTTCAGATAAAACACCGGCACTACCTGCAACACAGAAACAAAGCTTTATGAGGGGCACGTCGTGCTGTGGATTGTTTGCAAAAGGTTCTGTTTCTCTCAATGAATACTGAAAACCTGATCACAAACTTAGTCAGTTGCTACAGTAATCAAAACAGCACGGTACTGGTACCAAAACAGAGATGTAGACCAATGGAACAGAAAAGAGGTTCATTGGATGGGACAGGGGATAGATTTCATGTCCCCACAACACAGCAGTGAGCACACTTCATGGCGTGCTGATGCTTACTGAATGGTACGACTGAGGACTGGGTGATTGTTTGATTGTATGTTTTTATTCCAAGAGGCTCAACAACATGCTCTATGGAAGCATGATCCTTCAAACGCACTCATCTATCCTTTCAGTAATTTTTCACTCCCTCAGCCAAGAGCTTCTCCATCTGGGTTTCTGCAACACCAATCTCAAACCCATAAAGCATGGGTCACAGCAACCCCGCTAAGCTCACACGCCCAGCTGTGGAAGCAAACTTCACTTTATGGCAAGTCTACTTTGCCACTACAGGCAGTGCAGCATGTTAGTTTATAGATTAGCCTTTGGTGTTAGAGAGGTCCAGCTGTGGGTGTGTCCCGTGAATAATTTACTTAACTGAGATTCACATTCCTCATCTGTATAATGAATAGAACCAAACTATGCCTCAAAGTGATTGATGCTTCAAAGAGGCAACATAGAAAAGTGACCACATAGTATCCAAGACTCAAATGTGTATCACTTATCCTTTACATTTTAATAACTTAAGCAGCTGTTATCAAGTACAGTCATATGGCATAGTGACATTTTGATCAATGATTACTTACATGGCTGGGGTCAGATGGGCGTACACAAACCTACTGGCCTGCATCATTAGATTAAAAGAAAATTTTTTGTTAAAAATTTTAAGTAAGATGCTATACAATTGAAAGACTAACCACAGTGATAGAAGTTTCAGGGAGAGATAAAACTAAAAGTGCACAAGGATTTGGAGAAATGTCTCCTCACATATGCTGCCACAGGAGCATGAATTAGTGACACCATTTTGAAAAATATTTGGCACTATTCATGGCAATAAAAGATATGTTCCCTTCTAACAATCTACTTCACAGAAGTGAGTGCCAGTATTATTCCAAAGCCGGTTACACTTACGAACGTGAATGAATTTCAAATCAGAGTGAAAAGCCAGACTCCAAGAATCACATATTGACTTATTCTATGTATGACAGTCCAAACCTGGAGAGGTCTAAACAAGTCATTAGCAGTCAGAGCAGGTCCCTTAAGGAAGAAGATGAATAAAGGGGGAGGGAAATTTCAGGGAGGAACCAGGGATGTCTGCACTTGTGCCATCTCACCCTCTCAGATGTCAGGGTCCCAAAAGAGGGTGCTGGCAATATTTAGGTGGTTCAAAGGTCTCATGAAGAAAAGCAAATGACAGACAGCAGCAAACTCAGTTCTTTAATGAAGTGCCCCAGACTGAATCGAGGGTGTGCACTTAGTTTTGCATCTTATTATGTAAAATGAGGATCCTCCAGAGATAAAAATGTCATCCATAGCACAGCATGGACAGAATTATATGCTATCAGCACATTTTATCCTATGGAGTTTCCTGCACACCTTTTAGCAATCTGTGAATAAAAGGTCCAGAACTTAACTTTTAATATCAACTACAGGAAATAGTGTAATGCCATCTTCTGTGGGAAGAAACTCTTCGTTTCCCCAAAATTACAGAACTGGAGAGAAAGAAGCCTCATCTCAGAATCTGTGGTAGGGGTGGGAAGTGGAGGCTACAAATGTGCTCAAGGTCAGACTCCTTCTCTGCCTTCCCAGGAGACTGGAGACCTACCAGCGAGCCCAGAGTGAACATTCACTCTGCCATCCACCCCTGGGAGATCCCTTTAAACCCACAGAGAGGACAGAAACATAAACGTGCTATAACAAGTCTTAAAAGTTCAGAGGGTGATTATCAATTTCCCCTTAGCACACAGCAGAGTTTTTTCTCTAAGTTCAAGTAAATGCCTGTGAGAAAGATGCTCCCACAGATTCCTTCCTTTCCTTACAGATGACTCTCAATGCCCAGCCCTACATCCCTTGTGCATATTCCCAAGGAGTGCTGATTAATCCAAACCAAAGGTTTGGGAAAAAAGCAGGCGTACTGCAGAGATCAACTCTAATGAACACAGCACCCTCACAGCCCAGAGACACAGTTCCTACCTTTATGACGACAAACTTTGAAAAGAGCAAACCAAACCTCGCACACATTTTCATTTTCTTTCTGATTTCATACCCCCTGCTTCAGCCCCTCAAGCAGTGGGGATAACCTGAAGGTGAAGACTCTTAGGAACCCTTTCCCATTAGGTCCTACCTGGAAAGTAATTCCCTACCTTGGGGATCGTCTTCCTTTGCTTTGAAGACGCTCCCAAGCCAGCCTTTAAAAACAAAAACATCAGGAAAAGTCATTAAAAAGAGAGACTCACCCACTCCTCTCCCAGAATCTAAAGCCATGTGGCCTCGCACATCATTCCCTGGTCTTTGTTCTGAGTCGATAAACCTTCCTACAGCCTCTCTGGCTGGAGTTCTACATTGGCCAAATCACTTTCTCTCAGGAGACCCCCAATCCTCCTTCCCGGAATCAGGTTTCTATACGCTCAAGCGGCCAGTTGGTCCCTCATGATGTGAGTTACTTCATGGTACTTACTTTTCACCCTTTTCTGGGATATTCCCTGCAATTACATAAAAGAAAACATTATGAGGCTGAGACTCTGTGGTGTGCCTCACATAGATCTGTTATTCCCTTGGCAAGGGTAGAGAACAAGAAGTGGCACAGCGGCTGAGCCATAGGTCAACATCCTCAAAATCATGAGGATGCTTATGGAAAAACAAGCTCTTTATTCACAGAATTCACCTTTAAAGTCGATTTAATGGGCAAACACACAATGCTTAATCCAAGGAGGAAAATGTGTTGAGGAAAGTGCCTCTGCATTACAGCCGATAATGGATGCTATCATTTGAAAACCTCCCAGTGTATTGCGTGTTATTTGGGAAGACATTCCCACTGAATTTCACCCCCACAAAGAGAATTGCATACACTGTACATAATGTACATTTTCAGATAGAAGAAATCACAAAAGCGAAATTTCTTTAGAAGACAAAGGAGTCTTACGTAGAGGTTTTCCTCCTCCAGATCTTCTTCCTCTGTCTGGGATCTGAGTCCGACCGTGCTCGCCAGGTCACTTGACGACACTGGAAGTACACAGAAAAAAGCTCAGTACCCTGGTGGTTGGTGGCTGGGATATGGAGGTGGGTGATGATCAGGCATGGACTGAGTTGCTGATGGGCTGTCCCCCTGGGTGGAAGAGGGCTGGCAAGGGAGGGCAGCGGGAAAGAGATGAGACATGGAGGTCTCCGCCTCATACTAGAGGCATCATGCAGCAACACAGAAGAGTCAACAGAAAAGGGAATCTCAAATGCACACTAAGGTTCAACGGAAGAGTGCCTTCCTACCTCTCACACGTTTTGAAGCTCTTTAAAAAAACAAACAAACAAAAAAAAAAACCAGCACATTCAAGACTACATCAGTACTCTAGGACCCAATTTAGCATCAGTTTTAAAGATGCATAATAAAAACCTGGGTCTACCCAGCCCCTTATCTGAACCCACTTTCTTCTATTGATTCCAGGTTTTTAAACTCAACCAATTGACGATCAAAAAATCTTGAAATCTTCCTTATGACCTGGAGCCCCAACCTTCTCCCAATTTCTGTTGTCCCATCTTTCTCAATGGAAGAAATTGACATCTCGAATGTATTAACTGATGTCTTATGTCTCCCTAAAACATGTAAAAACCAAACTGTAGCCTGATCACCTTGGATATATGTACTCAGGACCTCCTGGGGCTGTGTCGCTAGCATGTCCTTAACCTTGGCAAATTAAACTTCTAAATTGAGACTGGTTTTAGATAACCTTTTGGTTTGCAATGTGTAATCACAGTGAGGTTTATTTTTTCGAAGAGGACACTAGGGATTTGTTGTGTCAAACAGAAATAACAATATATGTTTATGTGATTTATGTCCCAGGATTTTCCATTTATGGATTCACATGAAGGAAAACGGCTGTCACATAAATGGCTGTCGCTGCAGTTCTGTTTTTTAGAATTTTCAATCCTTGAATAAAAGCTAAGTTGATCAGACAGACGGATTCAATTCTAGGCAAAACAGTCTATTTTAGTTATGTACTGAACTTTTGTTATAGCCAATGATGGAAGAATTGGAAACATTGAAATTATATTCTATAAAACAACTGGTGTTCATCACACGAATATTTCCTTCTTCAGTCCACCTTTCCATTGTCATGCAGGTGCAGTAATTGCATATGGAGGATACCTATGCTCCTTTTCTGTCTTGTCATTGTGTCTAATTAATGTAGTTTGCAGAAGTTGATCATTTCTAGGTCTTGTGGTGATAAGAGTTTTCAGCTATCTCAAAAATATCCCATTCATCTTATTTGTTTGGGGCCAACTGCTGAGGAATGTCCCCAGCACTGAAGGGAGTTTCTCAATATTTCTAAGTACCGCTTCTAATATTCAGAACTTGCACTTGACCCTGTTGTCAGGGGTATCTAAGGCAGCTCCATAGTATTCACACCAATGGCCATGCCATATCCTGCAGTTACATTCACTGTTGTCTGCCCTAAGCCACGTGACTGCTGCAGCCATCTTGGAATCATAGGCAGTGTTTGGGATCTCTGTAGACTCATGTGTGAGGGAACCAACTTACAGCTACCCACGATGGTAGGGTTGAGAGCCATCCTCCTCAGGGTAATGACTGCAGTTCAACAATTCATTATCAATTCAGCTTTAGAGCTATAACCCTAGGTTCATATCTTGCCTCCTTCCTTTAGGGGCTTAAAAGCATGGGCACATTCATTAGCCCTTCAGTTTCTCCATCCAAGGGGTGTGTGGATAGTAAACAATCACTGTTTAGGTGAGCTCTGTAGCGAGGATTGAATGGGTTTATTAAAATAAACTGTGTATTGTAGATCTTCAGAATGGTAAATTAAAAAAGAACTGACTTGCCTTGATATCTCAAAGCTTAACACATTCCAGGCCTGCACGCATACCCAAGAGATGAGCTCCCAAGTCAGGGGTGATGCCATAATGCACAACTGCTCTGTCCAAAAATAGTCATTTCAACTTAACTCTAACCTTGGGACAAAAGCATGAGATATGAGTATCAAAAATGCTTTTGGTGACATCCCAATTCCACACAGTAGCTACTTCTGAAAAAAAGAAAATGTAAGTGCATGCCGTCTACAAAATGAGTCAGTGACCTGATGAAAAATCCACAGAGACCTGGTCAAATGGAATGAACACCAGTTTACTTGGGGAGGAGAATTATCTACCATATTGGAAGGTTCCAGGCATGTGACATCATATCCTGTATGATTTCTTTCTCTTAAATGAAAAGTGGCTCAAACTGAGGCTGTTGCCAAGTTATGGAGATGACCGTGGCTTAGCCTTGGCAAAGTGCTCTGGATAGTGTCACAAGGGACCTGATTTGTGCCTTCCTTCCTTCTACAGGTGGGTGAAAGCATATTATTCATATCTCTGTACATAGGGAATTTTGAATAATCCACAAAAGTAAGTTTAAAACTATGTTTTCGTAGGTAAACTGGCCTAGACACAGATATTATCAGTATGTATTTGGGAAAACTTGTGATATGAGTAGAAGTAACATGCTCTCAAATACTGTGAACTAAATATACATTTAGGCTGATGAAAGGAGGGAAGCCATGGGAATAGCAATATTAGGTTTTCTTCTTGTGCGTTTTCCTTCACATTTCCACATTCCAGATTCACTTCAGATTCTGAAGTCTAGAGTTTAAAAGATAACTGATGGTGGAAAGAAAGAAGCACAAGAGACGTCAGGTATGCAGAATCTAATCAGAAATACTGTATTTTACTCTATGGAAAAATAATAAACATACAATAGCATGAACAAAGAATTAAAACTATAAATGATGGAATAAGTAGGCAAAGTATTTCCTGAACGACCTTACTGAACCACTAATTGGAAGGACACCATTCAGTAGGTGAATATGAATAGACTTTCACAGTCACAATATGCCTGAGGAGAGGTATGAAGCTGAGAACTTCTTTCACATTCTGCATATGGAAAATCGGAGATAGTCTACAAGGATGCTATTCATGCTAATAAATTCATCAAAATTGCAGAGTACAAGGTTAACACTCAAATGGCAGTTGTGTCAATATGCACTCAATATCAACGATCCAATAGCAAGATTACAAATGTAATTCCATGGATCATAACCTCTGAAATCATTAGATACTTAGGATCTAACCAATGAGATGAAATACTCATAACCTGGTAAGAACAGAATGTGACTGAAAGGAAGGAGAGAAGGTACAAATAAATGAAAAGGTGTCCCATATTCACAGACAGGAAGGCAAAAGCTGACTAATACACAATACTACAAAATGATCCAAAGATGCACAACAACTACTATCAAACTGGTAACAACCATATGTGCAGAAATAGAAAAGATGATAACCCAACATTTTTTTTTAATTCTTATATGTCTCAATCATAATAATGTTGAAAAAGAATAACGTTGGCAGATACGCATTCATGAGATTGAAATCTGAGAGGAAAAGATACAGAAATTCAGACAGCAGGGTCCTAGCACGGGGGCACCCGTTAAGTATTGGAAATATGGAATACAGATCCCAAAATTCAACGCATGCATACACAGCCAACTGATCTTCAACAAAGGTGCCGAGAATGCACAATGGGAAAATAAGGTCTCTTTAACAAATAATGGTAAAATCCATATTCTCATTTAAATAATGAAATTGAGCAGTGTGCTCAAGGGTGTGCTTCTTCCTCCATTTACAAGACACCAGAGCTTTGCAATGACCCCAGAGCAAATCTTCATCCTGTCCCCCATGCCCAGACTGAGCCCTTGATAGCAGGAGTAAATAGCAAGGACAGACAAATGAATGTGCTGCCAGAAGGTGAGCATCAGTTCATCCCAAGCATCTGGGCACATTGTTGTCTTCAGGATTAAGTAACTGCCATGACAGAACTGTGTCCCAAACCAAAGGCTTTAACATTTTGCAGTAGCAGAGGCAGAAAAGAGGTATCCTTAGAAAGACCATCTTTAAATAATAAAGCAAGAACAGGGGACACACAAAAAAGAAGAAAAATAAAAAGAAGAGGTGATCACAGACAGGGTACTCACACTTCTCACCACTATGACATTAAACTCTGACAAGAACAAACTTCAGCCACGTTTTCTTTTTCTTCTCTTTCTACAGGCTCACTCAGCCTCCCAAGCAGCAGGCAGAAGCTGAAGGCTCCTGGGAACCTGCTTTATTAGATTCCACCTGTAATCTTGTTGCCTACCTGGAAAGGTGTCTTCTTCACTGTTGAGATTTTCCAGAATCCACTCTTTAGAACCACCAACAGCAGAGTAAGTCAGAGAGAGGTGCACTCACTTCTACTCCAGGTGAAGCCACGTCGGCTCACATAACATCCCCATGCATTCATACAGTCCCTCTGATCATAGTTATACACTTGCAAAATTATTTGCTCTCACTAGACCCCCAATATTCTTTAACCAGAACCCAGAATCAGGTTTCTATATATGAAAAACAGCAAGTTTGTTCCACAGCAAGTGAGCTACTTGAGGGTACATACCGTCAACAGCGAGTGATGAACCCTGCAATTAGACAAAACAAGATGCTATGAGGATCAGATGAATTCTCCTGCACCCCCGCCCCCACTCCCACAGATCTGTCAGTCTTTTGATGACTTCAGGAAACTAGTTGTAAGACAATGGTTGAGTCAAAGGTCAAGAATCAAACATGCTAGAATAGAGGACACCTGTGGAAAAGACAAGACCTTTCCCACAATTTATCTAGAAGTCGATTTACATTGGCAAATACACAATGCCTAAACCAAAGAGGAAAACTGGTGTTGAGGAAAATTCCTCTGCGTTACAGTTGATAATGAATGATTCTAAGATATTACATATCTGATGGGAAGACACTCCCATTGAATTCCAACCCCAAAAAGAGAATGGGACATGTCAGACATAATGTGCCTTCTCACATTATCACAATTAACAGAAGGAAGGAAATCAGAAAACAAACAATTCTTTTTTCATTTTGTTTTCTTCTGAAGTTTAGGTTCCAGGATGCATGTGCAGGACTGTGCAGGTTTATTACACAGGTAAACATGTGCTATGGTGCTTTGCTGCATCTATCAACCCATCACCTAGGTTTAAGCCCCGCATCCATTAGCTATTTATCCTAATGCTCTCCCTCCCCAATCCCCACCTGACAGGGCATTCTTTAGAGGACAGAAAAAGGGGTTCTTACCTCACCATCTTCCTCACACTTGGGGCTCCTGCAATCCTCAGGAGGAGCTGGAGGGAGACAGAGTAAAAGTCAGTACCCTGGTAGCTGTAGACTGTGAGTAACTCAAGGAGCTTTGCTGGGGATTCTGAGACCATCTCAGAGAAACAACTATGTTCAGATAGTACCGTGAGGGAGTCTCACCAGATATCTTTCATCTTAGACAATGCCAAGACCTAATAATATTCTCGCATTCCCAATTCCCAAAAGATATTAACCAATCAAAAAGCAAGGCTTAGATGTTTGCTGTGACATAGGCAGGAAAAACTGGTCTCCTGGGAAAAGTCATCATTAAATACCAGAGTAAGAAACGATGGTTACAAAAGCAGCCCACAAAGCCCATGGACACACATCCTCTCATCTCTATCTTATTAAAATCCAACAGAAATAATTCAGACCTCTACAGCTATTTTTTTTTTTTTTTTTTTTTGGTTCTGGCTTCATAGCCCCTTTCCTAGGTTCCAAAGCAATGGGTGTAACCCAACTGCTCCCAGAAATACTCCTAGGGTAGTACTTTTGTTTTTGTTTGTTTGAGACAGTCTTGCTAACCAGGCACCGTAACTGACTGCAATATCTGCCTCCTGGTTTCAAGCAATTCTCCTGCCTCAGCCTCCTAAGTAGCTGGGACTACAGGCACACACCACCACGCCCAGCTAATTTTTGTAGTTTTAGTAGAGACGGAGTTTCACCATGTTGCCCAGGATGGTCTTGATCTCTTGACCTCGTGATCCGCCCACCTCAGCCTCCCAAAGTGCTGGGATTAATAACCTGAGCCACTGCACCCGGCCTAGGGTATCATTTTCTACCTGCATAAATTGTCCTATTGCAGCTTCCCTCATGGATGGTGTCAACTGGCCAATCTTTAGAGACACAAATCTCAGCAAGAAGTTATTTCGGAGAGTGACTCACCCACCCTCCTATTCCAGGTGAGGCCACACTAGATTACATGAGATCACCCTGAGCTTTCCTCCATGTTCTCAGATTCTCTCCAGACTCTGTGGAGCCAGAGGTTTTCAACAAGGCATTGCTTACACTTCCAGCCTTCAAGTAAGAAAGAGAAGCTGAAGGAATCACCTTTCCATTTTTCCTTCTACTGGCCCATTATCAGTCTCACCTCCAATTACACAACCCTAGGATCCCAACTTTGATGTGCACGCTTTGAGTGACGTGAGTCCAACAGTCAGATCCTGGGCCAGGCTCACAGCAGACATGCAAGACAGCATTCTGTGGGGATGGAAATGCTCTCTGATGTACAGCTTCTGGGCCATGTACAATCGCATGGTGGCTGTTGTGATGAGGTTTTGAATATTTCATTGTATATATTTATTTAAGTATAAAGAGGTATATATATGACTGAGAAGCACACTAGATGGGACAGCTCCAGATATCCAGACATGAGGAAGACCCGACTCCCCTCTCCTGGTGTTTTTTGCAGAATCCTGTGCTGCTCTGATCTTACCACACATTTAGGGTTACTTCCTGAACATATGCACAAGGGCCTGTCACTGTGTGGGGCTGAGGATATGACAGTGACAGGTCCAGAGGGATTCCAGCAGGGATGCGCTTGCACCCAGTGGAAGAGCATGGCCCTGCACACCCTGTCCAGACTAGATCAGAGCAGCAGGATCAGAGGGGTGGGGGCATCTCACTGTCTTCAGGAGCTCACCCTTATCTCCAGAGACCCTGACTCAGAAGCTGGGCAGGCTCCAGGTTGAGTGTGTGGCTAAACAGGCTGAGAAGGAAACCTTTCCACACCTGCACTAGAACCCAGCCCAGGGGTGACCTAGAGCTCATCCCAGGGGTGTGTTCATTAAAACATCCATGGAGCCTAAAAAGTGTCTGTCCCAGGACTGAGCTCTGGGGTAAAAACAAATGAGGAAGACACAGTCACTGCCCTGCGAGTAAATACCCATAGCCAGGGCTCCTCTATTCACCTGTGGGAAGACTCAGACTTTGAGGTGGAAGATTTTTAACCATCTCCAAAATAAGTGGAAACTGAGATGTTATGGATTGCACAGAAGAGGATGACCTGGAGTCTGGGATCAGTCCCCAGCCCTTTGCTGAGATCACCCTGCACTGAAACTCATGTCCCTCCCTACCTGCCCTACTACTTTGGAGTGCTGCAGCTGCCCAGGCCAAAAGCTGGAAGACTCTGTCCAGTTGAAAAGCATTTCTGGGCCAGAAGACCCTTGGCCAACAGGGTCTACTGAAGAATCATTCCTCAGGAGATTTCCAGAAGAGGTGAAAAATAAAAACTTGTCTGTCTCAGCCCCAGGAAGATCAGGCCTGGGACCTCTCTGTGTCTGGTCTGACCCTGAGGTCCATTCCTACTGACTCATGTCCTGTCTGTTCCGTGTCAAAAAATGGGGACCTGATTCCTGTTCTGCCCCTCTCCGCAATGACACTCTGTTGGTATCATTGCCATCATCGCACAAAGAGATGGAGAAGACATGGGTCAGGAAGAAAGCTCCTTTCTCAAGGTATTTAGGGTGATGTTCACATCAAGCTTTCGACAGACTCCTCCCCAGAAGGGGTCTCATATCCTGCCTGGGCCCCGGTGATGACGCTGAATGGATGCCCCTAACACTGCAACCTTGACATTCTCTTTTAACAATGTCCCTAATGTTCTCATTTGTTTCCCCTCTGATCCTCTAAATCATGTTTCCCTTCAGGTCTAGCACGAGGCTCTCCCTTGCTCTCTCCCATGAAGCCCACTAAGCAGGTGTCCATGAATTCAGAGAACCTCAATGTTGGTAACACTGATATTTTCCTTGACTCACACACAGCAGCGCCCCCAAAGCACCAATGGGAAGCTTCGTCTAAAGATTAAAGGTGTCAAGGACAATCTGGTCATGAGAAAATCACTTCTGGGGTAAACAAGTGACATTGCACAACCAAACAGTTTCATTCTTTTGTTCCATTGGGAAAATACTGACACATATAAGACAATCAAATTTTACTGAAAAGCAAAGCATCTTCACAGAATGAATGCTCTGGTCTACTTAACATTGATCATGACTTAAAGCAGCTACCTTGGCTCTCTGTGTGAAGGTTTTCAGAAGGAAACAAAAACCTATTTCAACAGTAGAATCAATAGGGCATGATGGAGATTCCACTGTCTAGAGCTGAGTTCTTCATGGAGACATCTGTTTCTCACAGCACACCCGAGATCCTCACACCTATCAGGAACCCAAAGCTAGAAAGGTTCTCCAGACAAAAGCAAGCAAGAAAATCACCCCTGACTTATCACCAAGATGTGTCATTAGGAAGAAAGTGGTATTAGAATATGTACAATGTTAGAGAGGGGAACAACACACACAGTGGGGGAAGTGGACGAGAGAGCATCAGAATAAAGAGCTATTGTATGCGGGGCTTAATACCTAGGTGATGGGTTGACAGGTGCAGCAAACCATGCACACTTTTAGCTGTATAACAAAGCTGCACATCCTGCACATGTATCCCATAACTAAATTTGATTTAAAATAGAAATTGCCAGAGAAGGCAAATCTAGAAAGTACCTTAGCGGCTACCTAGGGCCAGAAGTGTGGGCCTTGGGGAAAAAGAGAAGTGACTACTAATGGCTTTAGAATTTCTCTGAGGAGAAATTAAAAAATTCTAAACTTAGATTGTGACAATGGCTGCACAACCCTGTAAATATAGTAAAAACACTACATCACCCACTTTAAACAAGTGAATAGTTTTGCATGTCAACTCTGTGACAATAAAGCACTTTATGAGAAAAAGAATACATACGGAGGTCATTTGGGGCTGTCACGGTGTCCTGCAACAAGAGAAAAACAAAGCATCTTAACATGCGGGGTGCGGTTGGTGCAGATATTTATCATGGTGACATTAGAAAACCACATGTCACTGGTGCCCAAATGAAGCATGTAAGATGCCTCTGAAATAAACAGTGGGGTGTTTTGGAAATGTAGCAAGTGGCCATGTCAGCTGAAAGATAACTGAGAAATAGGCCCATGACCAGACTGTAAGTTATGCCATCTTTTGACTGACATCATCAATCAGGCCTCAGTTGGTGAGAAACTCCACTGACTGGTCGCTAGAGTCCACGACAACTGAGGTGTGATTCACCATGGCAGTCGAAAATGATCTTCGCTTGATATTCCAGAGGCCCCAGGAATAAAAATTTCTCTTCGAGACAAAGAAATGCATCTCACCACATCACGGGGTAGGTCCTCATCCTCGTCATCCTCTAAGATGATTTCAAGAGGACCTAAGACAACACAGAGTGACAGTCAGTGCATTGGTGATGCTCAGGAATCTCACAAGGAGCTTTGAGAAATGTGGACCGGGCTGGAGTGCATGCAGCTGGTCGTTTGACAAGCATGGACCCAGCTGCTGCTGGACCATTTTCCTTGGTGCTGAAGGAAGGAAAAGGAAAGGGGCAGAGAGAAACGAAAGAGCCTTGGCCTCATCAATGTGAAATCGTCATTTGAAGAACCTAATAATACAGAAAGGCAGTGTACTACAGAAAGAGGAAGTAGATTAGGGCTGCCTAGGACCAGGGGCGTGGGGGGTTGGGGAGAACAGAGGAGTCACTACCAAGCGGGCTTTCTGAGAGGGGAAAGAAGCTTCTAATATTAGACTCTAACAATGGTCGCACAACCCTATAAATAGAGTAAAAACACGGAATCACCTACTTTAAATAAGTGAATTTGTTTGCATATGCACTACGTCTCGGTAACTGTTTGATAGAAAAAGAATACGTACGGCGGTGACACCAAATGGCACGCTTCTCCTGCAATAAGAGAAAAAGAAACACCATGAGGATGACATCATGCTGGGTCCCGCTGGCACAGGTCTAATATTCACTTGGTGACGTTAGATAACCAGATGACAGGCTGGGCACGGTGGTTCACGCATGTAATCCAGCATGTGGGGAGGCTGAGGCGGGCAAGAGGTTGAGGCCATCCTGGCCAACATGGTGAAACGCCGACTGTACTAAAAACTACAAAAAACCCGGCGTGGTGGTGGTGAGAACCTTCAGTCCCAGCTACTCGGGAGGCTGAAGCAGGAGAATTGCTTGAATGCAGTAGGAGGATGCTGCAGTGATCTGAGATCACACCACTGCACTGTAGCCTGGAGACAGAGAGACTTTGTCTCAAAAACAAAACTAAACTAAACAAAAAACCAGATGTCAAACAGTGTTGAAGTCACAGGCCCCAAATGGAGCACAGGGGGTGCTTGCAGAAAATGCAGTGGCTTTGGAATACTTAGCAGGTATCTATGCTGGCTGAAAAATACGAAATTGTATTTCAAGGAGAAAACGTTGCAACTGAGAAATATGCCCCAAACCAAATTGTTAGCTATGCCATCTTTTGATTGACATCGTCAATCAGGCCTCAGTTGGTGAGAAACTCCACTGACTGGTCGCCGGACGGTCCGATTCACAATGGCAGTCAAAAAGGATATTCACTTGATATTCCAGAGGCCCCAGAAAGAAAAATTTCTCTTTGAGACAAAGAAATGCATCTTACCTCGTCACGGGGTAGCTCCTCATCCTCGATGTCTTCTAGTATGAGGTCCTGCGGGACCTCAACGGGACCTAAGAGAACACAGAGTGACGGTCAGTGCATTGGTGCTGCTCAGGAATCTCACCAGGGGCTTTGGGAAATGTGGACCGGGCTGGAGGGTATGGAGCTGGGCGTTTGACAAGCACGGACCCAGCTGCTGCTGGACCATTCTCCTTGGTGCTGAAGGAAGGAAAAGGAGAGGGGCAGAAAGAAATGAAAGAGCCTGGCTTCCTAGACAGGGCAACCTCATCAACGTGAAATCGTCATTTGAAGAACCGGTTAATAAAGAAAGGCAGTGTAGTACAGAAAGAGGAAGTAGATTAGGGCTGCCTAAATCCAGGGGCGTGGGGGGCGGGTTTTCTGAGGGGGAAAAATAGCTTCTAAAATTAGACTCTAACAATGGTCGCACAACCCTATAGAGTAAAAACACGGAATCACCTACTTTAAATAAGTGAATTTGTTTGCATACGCACTACGTCTCGGTAACTGTTTAAAAGTAAAAGAATACGTACGGCGGTGACACGAAACGGCGGGCTTCTCCTGCAATAAGAGAAAAAGAAACACCATGAGGATGACATCATGCTGGGTCCCGCTGGCACAGGTCTAATATTCACTTGGTGACGTTAGATAACCAGATGGCAGGCTGGGCGCGGTGGTTCACGCATGTAATCCAGCATGTGGGGAGGCTGAGGCGGGCAGATCATGAGGGCAAGAGGTTGAGGCCATCCTGGCCAACATGGTGAAACGCCGTCTGTACTAAAAACTACAAAAAAAACCGGCGTGGTGGTGGCGAGAACCTTCAGTCCCAGCTACTCGGGAGGCTAAGCAGGAGAATTGCTTGAATGCAGTAGGAGGACGCTGCAGTGCTCTGAGATCACACCACTGCACTGTAGCCTGGAGACAGAAAGACTCTGTCTCAAAAACTAAACTAAACTAAACAAAAAACCAGATGTCAAAGAGTGTTGAAGTCACAGGCCCCAAATGGAGCACAGGGGGCGCTTGCAGAAAATGCAGTGGCTTTGGAATACTTAGCAGGTATCTATGCTGGCTGAAAAATACGAAATTGTATTTCAAGGAGAAAACGTTGCAACTGAGAAATATGCCCCAAACCAAATTGTTAGCTATGCCATCTTTTGATTGACATCGTCAATCAGGCCTCAGTTGGTGAGAAACTCCACTGACTGGTCGCCGGACTCCACGACACCTGAGGTCCGATTCACAATGGCAGTCAAAAAGGATATTCACTTGATATTCCAGAGGCCCCAGAAAGAAAAATTTCTCTTTGAGACAAAGAAATGCATCTTACCTCGTCACGGGGTAGCTTCTTCTAATATGAGGTCCTGCAGGACCTCAACGGGACCTAAGAGAACACAGAGTGACGGTCAGTGCATTGGTGCTGCTCAGGAATCTCACCAGGGGCTTTGGGAAATGTGGACCGGGCTGGAGGGTATGGAGCTGGGCGTTTGACAAGCACGGACCCAGCTGCTGCTGGACCATTCTCCTTGGTGCTGAAGGAAGGAAAAGGAGAGGGGCAGAAAGAAATGAAAGAGCCTGGCTTCCTAGACAGGGCAACCTCATCAACCTGAAATCATCATTTGAAGAACCGGTTAATACAGAAAGGCAGTGTACTACAGAAAGAGGAAGTAGATTAGGGCTGCCTAAATCCAGGGGCGTGGGGGGTTGGGGAGAACAGACGAGTCACTACTAAGCGGGTTTTCTGAGGGGGAAAAACAGCTTCTAAAATTAGACTCTAACAATGGTCGCACAACCCTATAAATAGAGTAAAAACACGGAATCACCTACTTTAAACGCACTACGTCTCGGTAACTGTTTAAAAGAAAAAGAATACGTACGGCGGTGACACGAAACGGCGGGCTTCTCCTGCAATAAGAGAAAAAGAAACACCATGAGGATGACATCATGCTGGGTCCCGCTGGCACAGGTCTAATGTTCACTTGGTGACGTTAGATAACCAGATGGCAGGCTGGGCGCGGTGGTTCACGCATGTAATCCAGCATGTGGGGAGGCTGAGGCGGGCAGATCATGAGGGCAAGAGGTTGAGGCCATCCTGGCCAACATGGTGAAACGCCGTCTGTACTAAAAACTACAAAAAAACCGGCGTGGTGGTGGCGAGAACCTTCAGTCCCAGCTACTCGGGAGGCTGAAGCAGGAGAATTGCTTGAATGCAGTAGGAGGACGCTGCAGTGCTCTGAGATCACACCACTGCACTGTAGCCTGGAGACAGAAAGACTCTGTCTCAAAAACTAAACTAAACTAAACAAAAAACCATCAAAGAGTGTTGAAGTCACAGGCCCCAAATGGAGCACAGGGGGCGCTTGCAGAAAATGCAGTGGCTTTGGAATACTTAGCAGGTATCTATGCTGGCTGAAAAATACGAAATTGTATTTCAAGGAGAAAACGTTGCAACTGAGAAATATGCCCCAAACCAAATTGTTAGCTATGCCATCTTTTGATTGACATCGTCAATCAGGCCTCAGTTGGTGAGAAACTCCACTGACTGGTCGCCGGACTCCACGACACCTGAGGTCCGATTCACAATGGCAGTCAAAAAGGATATTCACTTGATATTCCAGAGGCCCCAGAAAGAAAAATTTCTCTTTGAGACAAAGAAATGCATCTTACCTCGTCACGGGGTAGCTCCTCATCCTCGATGTCTTCTAATATGAGGTCCTGCGGGACCTCAACGGGACCTAAGAGAACACAGAGTGACGGTCAGTGCATTGGTGCTGCTCAGGAATCTCACCAGGGGCTTTGGGAAATGTGGTGGAGCTGGGCGTTTGACAAGCACTGGACCCAGCTGCTGCTGGACCATTCTCCTTGGTGCTGAAGGAAGGAAAAGGAGAGGGGCAGAAAGAAATGAAAGAGCCTGGCTTCCTAGACAGGGCAACCTCATCAACGTGAAATCGTCATTTGAAGAACCGGTTAATAAAGAAAGGCAGTGTAGTACAGAAAGAGGAAGTAGATTAGGGCTGCCTAGGACCAGTGGCGTGGGGGGCTTGGGGAGAACAGAGGAGTCACTACTAAGCAGGTTTTCTGAGGGGGAAAGACAGCTTCTAAAATTAGACTCTAACAATGGTCGCACAACCCTATAAATAGAGTAAAAACACGGAATCACCTACTTTAAATAAGTGAATTTGTTTGCATACGCACTACGTCTCGGTAACTGTTTAAAAGAAAAACAATACGTACGGCGGTAACACCAAACGGTGGGCTTCTCCTGCAATAAGAGAAAAAGAAACACCATGAGGAGACATCATGCTGGGTCCCGCTGGCACAGGTCTAATATTCACTTGGTGACGTTAGATAACCAGATGGCAGGCTGGGCGCGGTGGTTCACTCATGTAATCCAGCATGTGGCGAGGCTGAGGTGGGCAGATCATGAGGGCAAGAGGTTGAGGCCATCCTGGCCAACATGCTGAAACCCTGTCTGTACTGAAAACTTCAAAAAACCCGGCATGGTGAAACGCCATCTCTACTACAAACTACAAGAAACCCGGCATGGTGGTTGTGAGAACCTTCAGTCCCAGCTACTCGGGAGGCTGAGGCAGGAGAATTGCTTGAAAGCAGTAGGAGGACGCTGCAGTGCTCTGAGATCACACCACTGCACTGTAGCCTGGTGACAGAGAGACTCTGTCTCTAAAACAAAACTAAACTAAGCAAAAAACCAAATGTCAAACAGTGATGAAGTCACAGGCCCCAAATAGAGCACCGGATGCTTGCAGAAAATGCAGTGGGTTTGGAATACTTAATCTATGCTGGCTGAAAAGTACAAAATTATCTTTCAAGGAGAAAATGTGGCTACTGAGAAACATGCACAAGACCAGATTCTGAGTTATGCCATCTTTTGACTGACATCGTCAATCAGGCCTCAGTGTGGTCAGAATCTCCACTGACTGGTCGCTAGAGTTCATGACGACTGAGGTCTGATTCACAATGGCAGTCGAAAATAATCTTCACTTGATATTCCAGAGGCCCCAGAAATAAAAATTTCTCTTTGAGACAAAGAAATGCATCTCACCACATCACGGGGTAGCTCATCATCCTTGATGTGTTCCAGGCTGAGGTCTTGTGGGACCTGAACAGCACCTAAGAGAACATGAAGTGACAGTCAGTGCATTGGTGCTGCTGAGGAATCTCACAAGGAGCTTTGGGAAATGTGGACCAGGGTGGAGTGCATGGAGCTGGGCGTTTGACAAGCATGGACCCAGCTGCTGCTGGACCATTTTCCTTGGTGCTGAAGGAACTTGGCTTCCTAGCTGGGGCAGCCTCATCAACGTGAAATCGTCATTTGAAGAACCGATTAATACAGAAAGGCAGTGTACTACAGAAACAGGAAGAAGATTAGGGCTGCCTAGAACCAGCGGTGTGGGGGGTTGGGAAAAGCAGAGGAGTCACTACTAAGGGGGTTTTCTGAGGGGGGAAAAAAGCTTCTAAAATTAGACTCTAACAATGGTTGCACAACCCCGTAAATAGAGTGAAAACACTGAATCACCTAATTTAAATGGGTGAGTTAGTTTGCATGTCAACTACGTCTCGGTAACTGTTTAAAAGGAAAAGAATACGTACGGTGGCAATACTGGGTGACATGTTTCTCCTGCAATAAGAGAAAAAGAAACATCATGAGGATTACATCATGCTGGGTCCCATTGGCACAGGTCTTGTATTCACTTGTGACATTAGGAAACCAGATGGCAGACTGGGCACGGTGGCCACATGTAATCCCAGCATGTTGGGAGGCTGAGGCGGGCAGATCATGAGGGCAAGAGATTGAGACCATCCTGGCCAACATGGTGAAACCCCGTCTCTACTAAAAACAAGAAACCCGGCATGGTGGTGGTGAGAACCTTCAGTCCCAGCTACTCGGGAGGCTGAGGCAGGAGAATTGCTTGAATGCAGTAGGAGGACGCTGCAGTGATCTGAGATCACACCACTGCACTATAGCCTGGTGGCAGAGAGACTGTGTCTCAAAAACAAAACTAAACTAAACCAAAAACCAGATGTCAGTGATGAAGTCACAGGCCCCAAATGGAGAACAAGGGATGCTTGCAGAAAATGCACTGGGTTTGGAATACTTAGCAAGTATCTATGCTGGCTGAAAAATACAAAATTATTTTTCAGGAAGAATATGTTGCTACTGAGAAATACGCTCACTACTAGTTTTTCAGTGATGTCATCTTCTGACTGACATCATCAATCAGGCTTCAGTTGATTCCAGTGACTGGTAGCTAGAGTCCATGACAGCTGAGGCCTGATTCACAAGGGCAGTCAGAAATGATACTCACTTGATATTCTAGAAGCCCCCAAAAAAGACATTTGTCTTCAAGACAAAGAAATGCATCTTACTATGTCAGGTGATGTCTCTTTAAGGTTTTCACGTCTCTTTAAGGTTTCTTCTGGTCTTGAAGAGGAGCTAGGAGAACACAGAGAGACAGTAAGTACACTGGTGATGCTGAGGAATCCCACAAGAAGTTTTGGGGGATGTGGACGGAAGCTGCAGTGTATGGATGGGGGCTGTTGACAAGCATGAACTGAGCTGCCTGCTCGGCCACTCTCCTTGGTGCTGAAGGAAGGCAAAGGAGAGGGGAAGAAAGAAATGAAAGAGCCTTGGCTTTCTAGCTCGGGAAACCTCATCAGTGTGAAATAGTCTGCAAACCGGTTAATACAGAACGGCACTGTATGGCTCAGTGAGAGCATCTCATCACACCTGCTGCCCACGTGAAGGTCTAGGCAAATCCCAACATTTTATGAAACGTTACAGGATTATTTAACTTCTGTGGATCTACATATCCTGCTGCTACATTTATCATCTGTCCTGTTGTATTTTTTAAATTTTAAAAGCTTACATATTTATTATTTTAATTATTAAGTGTGCATTCCAATGATATTATATTTAGTGAGTAACATTCATGATGCTGTGTCAAAAATGAGAAAAATCAAATCTAAATTCATAATCTAGCTTCCGCCTTGGGCATTGAAAGAAAAACAGCAGTATAATCTCGAATTGAGGAAAAATAAATAACGACTGCAGAAATTAATGGAATAAAAACAGGAAATCATCAGAGAAAATCAACAACAACAAAACCAGTTCTTTGAAAAGATCAATAACGCTGATAAACCTCTACCTTTTCTAACCTCAAAGGAAAAGAAGGAAGTCACGATGTACTAATAATATCAGTTCAAGACGAGTTGAATCAAAAAATAATACACTTGGAAACATTATATGAAATGAGCTAACTTTTTGGATCTGTTTCAGAAGGTTAAACGTCTTCTCATGATAAATGAATCATCTGAATAGGCCTATATTTATATTAGAAATTGAATCAATAATTAGTATCTTCTCAAAAGAACAAAAACACTACCTTCAGATGATTTCACCGGTAAATTCTACCAAAATTTTTACAAAGAAACGTGGTCTTACCGTACGAGCAAGTAACCATAATTTTAGTATTTCCTTACATTTTAAAATTGTGTTTCCAAACAAGACACAAGAAGGTTTGTAATTTCTGTATTCATAATTGCCCAAACTGAAAGCAAATGTCTAAACATTTGAGATGTCCTTTACTATCAAAAGCGAACCAAGCCTGAGCAACACTGTGAAACCCCGTCTCTACAAAAAAAAAAATAAAATTTAAAAAAAAGCTTGGTATAAAGCATGTGCATTATAGCCATCTGCTTGGGAGGGGTAGAAGGATCATCTGAACACGGGGAGGTCAAGATTGCAATGAGCTGTGATTGCACCAGTGCACTCCTGGGTGAGAAAATGAGACCTTTTCACAAAAACAAAGAAACAAAAAGAACCAAACTCTAAGTTGCCAATGTAACTTTACTTGTGTAGTTGCATCACCCATTAATTTAATGCATTTAAATGGGCACAAATGAAATAAATGAAGAACATCACATAGCATTTACTGAGTTTCTCTGGGACACTGGATGAGTAAACTGGAATTGTTTGCTTCAATCAACTTAATGATATAATTTCCACCCTACCTTCATTTGCAGTGGGGCAAATTTTTTTACGCCTCCGTTTTTGTACCCAGCTCCTCACGCGGCCAGCCAAACCTGCAAGGTAGAAATGTATTATAATAAAGACAACTCTTGACATCTTGCTGAAATTAGTAAAAACTTATTCAGTTTAAACTTTTGATCCTAGTTTTCACCGACTACTTTCAATGCTACATCTGGGATCTAGGAAGATTTGTTTGTCCAGGCAGATACATTTATTCAGATGAGACAATATAGAAAAGCAGAAGATCCAAGTTACCAAGAATAGGCTGTGTTCAAATCCTACTTAGAATCTGCACATACCTGGGAGAGGGATATGAACCCATCTGTGCCTCTCTTCCCTATTCTGAGATGTAAAAACGTTAGTAGATCTATGCTATAGACCTACTAAGGTCTATAGCACCTAAAAGAATGAAATGCAGATAAAGACTTAAAAAGACTCTTTTCTTTTTGTAAATGCCCTAAAATGTTCAATCATTCAATGTCGAGAAGGATAATCCAGATACATGGTAGTGGTTGAATACAGAGAGGAAGCCTGCATGTCTCCTGTGCAAAGTAGGATGGAAAGTGATGTCACAGTTTCCATGGCCACATGATTTCCAGCTCATGACAGAGATCTGTGATTTCCCTGATCCCCACATCAGCCCCAAGGGACAGGCAGGGAAGGATTCAGTGAAATAAGACTCAGACATTTTGAGTGACTTGCCCAGTGTCACCGCAGTGAGGAGTGATAGATCTGAGGTAATAATGTAGTTGGTTCCCCGGGGATAGAGATCCTGGAACACCTGAGTCCTCTAGATCATGCCCTGAACCCTGGACTGAGAGCTCTTCTCACAAGCTTTGTCAAATCCTGCTACCCCAACATTTCTGTGGGATGGTTGAAGCTCTGGAGAGGTGGCAGGTGGCTTAACGCATTTACTGACCTACTGTATTATCCCCATGTTGTCACTTTTATTAGTTTGATGACCCATAAGGCAAACATTTTAAGTCTCTCAGTTATGCATGATCAGAGATTTTACCTAAGCCCACTCTTTCTACCCATCAGGTGATTCTCATCTGCTGGGCTAGAGCTGGCCTGATGTAAAAAATAACACACGGCATACCATGGAGCTGCTGCGTGCCCCACTCCGGTGAACATGGCATACTACTGCGTGCCACGCTCCTGTGAACATGGCATACTATGGAGCTGCTGCGAGCCACGCTCCTGTGCACGTGGCATACCACAGGGCTGCTCCATACCCCAATCCTGGGCACATTCTTGCCTTGCTTCTGCTTTCCCAGCTCTGACAATCCTAATTCTGGCTTCCAAACCAATCCTGTATGTCCCTCTCAGTTCTCAGACTTGCCTCAACTGTTGGATATTTTAATCACTGTTGTAGTGACCATGACTGAACTGTGACATTTCATATACCATACTATATGTTTATCTTTTTATATATTTCTTAATAAAATTTAACTTATTTTTTTCAGACTTTTTAGGAACGTTTCTGGGCTAGGTGTGCTGGCCCATGGCTATAATCCTGACATTTTTAGAGGCTGAGGCAGGAGAATTAGCTTAAGGTCAGAAGTTTAAGACCAACCTGGGCAACACAGTGAGACGTCAATTCTACAAAAAGCTTCTAAATGTGATAGGATGTGGTGTCCCTAGCTACATGGAAGCCTGTTGTGGGAAGATCATTTGAGCCTAGAAGATTGAGGCTGCAGTGAGCTATGATCACGCCACTGTACTCCAGCCGGGGTAACAAAGCAAGACCCTGTCTCTTCAAAATAAAAAGCATTACTGTGTTACACGTATCCCCATTTTGTTTCTCATTATCTAATATTGCTGTTTTCATCCTGAGGCTTGATTGCTTTAGTAAGCTTTAGAAAGTTTTTTAGACAAGGTAGTATTTATAGCAGGCCATATGCATGCCTTTTTATAGATTCTAGTTTTATATGCCATATATCTAGAATTTACATTCCTGATCTACTCCGTCTTCTTCTTAGAACCAGCCTCCTCATATGTAACACAAGTATAATTCCCATATTACACCTAACTCAAAACATTGAGAGGATAGAATAAAATCAAAGAGCAGTCTGTATACTACACAAGGCACAATAGATTACAAACCAAAGCTTTCTCTAACTCAGCACACTTAACATCCTTTGCAGAACCCATAGCAAAATAATATTTTGAGAAACTATGCACTTTGGCTACCCAGTGAAATTAGGAGAAAACTGTCACAGGTCATCAAGACTTCCCCAACGTTATCTTTTATTTTTAAATAATGAAATACCATTATTTCTCCTGCTATCTTTCATGTATATTACTGCACATTCTCCTTTTGGCTTTTCTGAGTACCCTATTCTTGGGAATCACTCCACAGCAATAAAAAGACATCTTACTCTTTTTCACAGCTTCATACTTCTCCTTTATGTACAAGTACCAGCTTATTTTACTAGTCCCTTACTAGGCATGCCAGTTATTTCCAATATTTAACTATTGAAAATAATGCAACAAGAACTCTGCAAATAGTTTGTTTTATATTTACGGAGCATAACTTCAGGATAAAATTCCTCAAAGTAGGATGTCTGGTTCAAATGCATTTTCACGGTTGTGAGATTGTGCCAAATTCCCTTTGCATTTCTACCAGCAATACATGAATGCAACTTTCCTCACAGCCACACCAAGGAACGTTCTGCCATGGTTTTGGGATTTCCCTCAATAGGAGAGACCCTGCAGTAGAGCTGTCATTTGCCTTTCTTTTATGAGTGAAGATGTGTTTAAAAATCACCTGTATTTCTTTTTCTGTGACTTGTCTATTTACCACTTTATTATCCACTTTTAGTGTCACTTGATTTTTCTCAAGTCCACCTCTTTCACGTCATTGTTGTTTTTCTCTTCACTGTCAGCTCTCACCTGAACTACTCCACCAGTCTCCTAGCTGCTCTTCCTGCTTCCACCCTTGCCTGTATTACAGCATATTCACAGAGCTGCTGCTCAGTCTTTTTCTTAGAGAATTAACAGTAATCCTGGGCTATAATCCTCCAGTGGTTTTCCATCTCAACTGAAGTCCATCTTTTCTGTGAGTGTTCACTACATGTACAAGGTCTTCACCTCCTTTTACTCTGCTGCAGCTGCCCTTGTGGCTTTCCCTCCTTTGCCTAAAACTTTGTTTCAAAAGTTTCAAATCAAACTTTGTTTCCATTTCAGGAATTCCAAAGCGGATATCCCTCTCTGGAAGCCCTCTCCCACCATCCTCACAGGGTTCCCCTCACTTTTTTATTTTTAAAACTAAATAAGATGGGGTGTCTCTGTGTTGGCCAGGCTGGTCTTAAACTTCCAGCCTCAAGGAATCCCCTCATCCTGGCTTTCCAAAGTACTGGGATTAAAGGTGGGAGCCACTATACCCAGCCCATTTCACTTTTAAGACTGTTCACATGTCACTTAAAGAGAACATCCTGCTCTTAGCGCCAACCCTCCATCAAACTGCCCTCCTCTTTAATCCATCACCCTGCTTTACTTTCTTCCCAGCACGTCACCACCTGCCATTCTTGACTATTCATGTGCTGGCTGCCCTTACTTCCCTATCGAATGTAGGTCAGACTTAGAATGGGGCTCTCTGTTGTGTTCCACTGTTGGCCCTGCATCTGCAACACTGCCAGGCCATTTGAAACTGCTCGATACATATATTTCATTTTACCCCAAACTAGTTAAGTTTCTCCCAATTCTCCCAGATCTGCTAAAGTTTTCTTTTGTTTTATCATCTAAGACAGCATCGGATTTTTAAAACTGGTAGCTATTTAGCATTAAAGACACAAGCTATCAAGATCCACAAAAATATAAATGAAGAATGTTAATGTCTAAAAGTCAATGGTAACTGCAATTTGACACAAGTATATTTAACACTAAAATACCTTAAATACAAAGTGACTCATTTCATCCATTTAATTATGTCACTAGAAAAAATATATTATCTGAATTTTATAACAAGATATCACGCACCTGTCATCAAAATGTGCTTTATGTGTGTTCTGAATCAAACATGACAGGACTGTTTCTGACTTTACGAAAAAAGACGGCCAATCGCAAGGGGTTGCTTTAACCAGTCCGTAGTACACTAAGCAGTTATTCAAAGTCATCAGGTAGAGCAGGGTGCCCTGGCAGGCAAAGACATCCTGGAGTGCTCTCTGGGTGTCAAGTACTGTTTGAGAAACTTACGCCATTATCTCACTGCTTTAAGTAAAAGTTACAAGGCAGCACATATAAAATAATCAGAAAGTTTTATTTTACAAAAAAGTTTGTGAAATAAAATATTATATTCAAATGCATAGCAATAATTTCCAGAAAAACAGTGCTCAAACTGTAACACAAGTGATCTATGGGTATTCTGAGTGTAATAAATAACTTTTCTTTATTTTCTACATCTTTTACATGAAACATACTGATAGTTATTTTAAAAGGAGGGTTCAAAATAGGTACTAGAAAGCTGAAAGACCTGCTGCTCAGAGGTCTCTACATCATATGCCCATGCTTTCCCTTCCCTGACCCCTCACTTGAGAGAGCCAACAAACCAGCAGCATTGGTAAGAACACAAAAGGCTGCATGAAAAGTCGATGGGTAGTGATAAAATTGAATAATGAGCTCCTACTATCTTAATCTGTTACTTATATTACCCCCAGTCATATTAGATATACTGCTAAATAAAGGCATGATAGGACAAAACATGTTTGAGTCTGAGATCTAAACTGGGTTCTTAGAGCTTCTCTTTGAAATGGCTTCAAGACACAATGTTCTTTTGAAGTATTTCAGAAGAGAACAATGAAGCAGAGCATTATTTATGGCATAAGTTCCTGAAACAGGACTTGCCACCTAGAGAGCACTCCAGGATGTCTTTCTACAGCAGTGCGCCCTGCTCTGCCTGATGCCTTTAAATAACTGCTTAGTGTGCCACAGAATGGTTGGAGCACTGGTTGCTGTGATATTTGTCTAAGTTACCAAAAGAAATCAATCGTCATTATAGAAAGGCTAAAATGTTTCACATCTAAGTAGGAATTTATCATTTTCCAAAAAACGTGAATGAAGATATTAACAAACTTTGAATGTGTCTATACTTTATATTGAGTGTTCTGAACATGTTTCTTTCATTTTATTTTCCCAGCCAGGCTGGAGTGTACTGGCGGGATCTCGGCTCACTGCAACCTGCAACTCCCGGATTCAAGTGATTCTCCTGCCTCAGCATCCCAGGTAGCTGGGATTACAGGTATGTGCCACCATGCCTGGCTAAGTTTTTGTATACTTAGTAGAGAAGGGGTTGCATCATGTTGGCCAGGCTGGTCCCAAACTCCTGACCTCAGGTAATCTGCCCACCTCGGCCTCCCAAAATGCTGAGATTACAGGCATGAGCTACTGTGCCTGGCCAAAGAATGAACACTGAAATTGAGGTTTCTGTTATCCCTTTACTGAATACCACAAAAACACGTTTGAAGAGACATATAGAAACTTACTGTCATGCACATACACATAAGATGGTAAATTCTGTGCTCACAAACTATTTTTTCTAACATTTCTTACTCGGGGCCTTGCTTGCCCTCCTGCCAGCTTCTCCTTTCTCCTGACCAGGGCATTCTCAGCTTCAAATCAGTTAGCAGATGAAACTCTTCCACATTTATTAAACTGTTGATTTGACTGGTAAATGCAGGCCATTTTGTTACCCCTACTTTTATCCTTATCTATTTCAATAAATGTATGGACAGAAGGTAGAGCCAGGAGAGATGGCACATGCCTGTATTGTCAGCTTTCCTACAGGCTGAGGCAGCAGGAGTGCTTGAGCCCAGGCCAGGAGTCAGAAGCCTGGGCTCTGTGCCCACAGTGAGGACCCATCTCTTTAGGAGGAAAAACGGAGAGGTAAATGTGTAAAATAAAATGCAAAAAGAACTAATCAAGATGAAAGTTCTAAGAGAGGTCTATGTTATGGGTAGACCTTAAAATATAAGACATTCTGGAGTCTGTCAAGTTCTTTAAGAACTGAGTTTGGCATCACTACGACCTCCAATGTCTACTTTGATGACTTAGAACCTCAGTCCTGTTCAGCAGCCGTCTCACACAGTCCCTTCAGATCTCTAAGCCTTCCCTTCTGCATCAGCAACATAGCTAGAATATACACAGGTCTTATTTGTATTTGGAAGCTTCCAGTAAGATGTACAGGAAAACATGTTTTACATCCTAAAGAATAAGGAAAAGGCTCACTTTGTTCTCTCACTACCTCATCTGCCAAATCAGACAGAATATCACACAGAGGCTTGCCATACACCACCAAGCAAGGAGTTTCCACAGGTACTTGCATGCTTTGTGTATAAGGTACAATCTATTAAGTCTCATAATTATTTATTCTTTCACAATTTTTCAATACTCTGAAAAGGGAGTACAGCACTTCCTTGTTACAAAGGCACACCCATCATGAGGCTTAATTATTCTGTGAAAGAAGGTAAGAGCCAAACTGAAGTTTAAACACAAGACCTGTAAGACATTTTCTCCATACTAATAATAAAATCTCTGCCATTAAAATGAAAGAAATGAGCTGATCATATTTCTATGTCTTTATGATATAATGTTTTCTATTTCAGTGGACTTAGTCTTTGTTCAAGGAACTGGTTACCCAGAATTATCTGTTGCTAGATTCATCTATTTCTAAAATCCTAAAGGATTTTAGACTGAAGGCTGCTGGCCCTGGTTGATGCCTGTCACCCAAAAAGCCTATGTCACCTGGTTACCAGGAAACAACCAAGTCAGGCTACTGGCTCACAATGCCCTGCCCCAGAGCCCCACCCAATGGCTCACAATGCCCTGCCCCAGAGCCCCACCCAATGGCTCACAGTGCCCTGCCCCAGAGCCCCACCCAATGGCTCACAATGCCCATCCCTGCTGCTGCCCACCTGTGGTCACCATTTCCCCCATGTGACTGCATTATTCATCCTGGGCTGCCTGAGCTTTCCAATCATGAGAAAAGTTTGTGGAGGGAAGGGTGGTTGTTATTGGAAGTCACCCTGGACTCAGTAGAAAACCTTGATTACTAATGTCAGTTCCATTAGCATCTCTGGTTTTCTGAGTCTGGGAGCTTTCATTTGCTCAAAAAATGTAGTGATACACAAATGTTTGACTGATTTTGTAACTAAATGCTCCTCTCCCATCTTACAAGTGTTAGTTTTTGTCTTCAATTTGACCACAGCAAGAAAATGAAATGCTTCCTCTCTCCTCCCCTTTCCCATTCTGTAGGAAGGGGAGCCATGAAAACAAACTCTTTTCCACCGGCAGTGTCTGGCCTTCTAACTCTCAAGTCTTTACCTTACAAATTCAAGTCAAAAGTCATTTCATCTCTTTTGGAAGCTGTAACCATGAGCTAGCTCTACCTGTCTTTCAGAAGGTAAGGAGGTAAAGCCCATGAAGTTACTGGAGTAGTGCCGAAGAGACATTCACGTCAAAGTGGGAATTTTTAAGTAATCAGAGCTCCAGGGCTAAACTTTGGGTAAAACCACAGCAAAAACTCTGGCAGTAACATTTCATATCTTTTGCTGTCATTTTAAGCATGTCCCTCAATTTTTCCTTTGGTTTTCAAATTACAATTGGAAGAAGTAAAGCTGCTTCTGTCAAGGTGACTTCAAACCATCTCTTAAGAACACCATATAATCTCTTCCATAGCTGTATTTTAAATTTAAGAACTTTCCAAATATTTGAGTCTGAATTTTCCCAATTATTAGCTTCCTTATCGAATAGGAGAAAAGAAATGATTGGGCCTTTAACCGGCTCCTTCACTGAGGTACCATAGTAGCTGGATAGGTAAGGCTAGAGAATGGGATGGAGACTCCAAAACTGGAGTATCTGAATTTTCACTGGGGAAAGGGAAAGACTAGACCCAAAATGCCTCAAGCAAGAAGGCTCAACAACAAAGACAAGAGGCGGGACTAGCCTTTGTCCCCCATGCCCAGCCCTGGGAAAGCTGGCTATAGGCAGGAGGGAGCTGAGAGCTGAGGTCTCTGGGGTGAGGGGATGGGAAGGAGGTGGGGGAGGTGGTGGCCAGAAAGAAAATGGCACCTGTGGCTTCCTTACCTTTGCGCCGCTTTGACTTGGGCTGCACATGCTGGACCTCCACCACTCCGGCATATACAAAGTCAGGCTCTGCAGTCGTGGATTCTGGTGGTGTAGCTGCCACAGACTGAGTCCCACAACATGACGCCACTGCCTCCCGGCACCAGGCATAAATGAGGCCAGCCCTGGGGCCTAGGAAGTTCCCCATAGTGACCTATAAGGGGACTTTCAAAACAAAGCAATGCACAAAATCAGAAAAAAAAAAACAAAAAAGAACAATGAGAACACGTGGACACAGGGAGGGGAGCACTACACACTGGGGTCTATTGTGGGGAAATAGGGGAAGGACAGCAGGGGGTGGGGAGTTGGAAAAAGATAGCATGGGGAGAAATGCCAGATATAGGTGATGGGGAGGAAGACAGCACATCACACTGCCATGTGCCTATGCAACAATCTCCTCCTCCTCCCACTACCAGCTTCTGACTGAAGGCTGCTGGCCCTGGCTGATGCCTGTTACCCACAAAGTCTCCTATGTCACCTGGTTACCAGGAAACAACAAAGTCAGGCCAGTGGCTCACAATGCCACTTCCCACAACCCCACCCAAAGGCTCACAATGCCCATCCCTGCTGCTGGCCACCCTGCCCCTCTTGGTGACTGCATTATTCATCCTGAGTGGCCTGAGATACTCCATTTTTCACCATAGGCCTCAGAAAACCCAGAAATGTCCCTTCATAGATTCTATATAGAGAGTGTATCTAACCTGTGAATAAAAACAAAGGTTTCATTCTGCATGATAAATCCACAAACACAAAGCATTTTCACAGAATCCTTTGCGGCCCACCTCTCACCTTCAGCTTCCTGTTCTTGGTTATTTGGGCTTCAGTCTTGTATGCTCTGTCAGGTTCTAGGCCTTGTAAGGGTGAGTTCCATGTCTCCTGCCCAGGACAGTTGGCTCTTGGGAGGGTCTTCACGACTGAGGCCATGGATCCTTCGCACTGTTCCTTGAATCCACTTGACACAAAATACTCATCCTGCAGTGATGCTTTGAAAGTGATGCTTTCATTCAATTAGGGGCCAGCTGTATTACGGATCCCTAGCACCCAATACATGGCATATGAGAAATGAATGAAAAATAAGTGAATGAACTCAAGTGTGCCTACAAGGTGAGAGAAAATGGTCCTACTTACTAGGTGTGCTACGAAGGCATCTGGGACCATTGGCTTTGCTATTTCATAGTAGGCCTGGGGCTTTGAAGGCTGGTATTTCCTCATTCTAAACCTCAAATTCCAATAAATTACCACCAAGTGGACAAAAGTCCATGGGCCAGAGCTCTTGGTGTGAACAACATACCTTTTGTGGGTGTGATTAATGGGCAGGGACTATACAAAACTAAAAACAATGTTTGTGTGCTGACTACCTGCAAAAACACTCTGCATACACGATCTTATTCAATGCTTGTTACAAATCCACGAAGTGAATTTTTATGCAAACTTTCTATTCGAGCTTTTTGGAACAAGAGGCTAGTGTGGTGACTTTCACCTACTCGGCAGCAGATTTAGATACTTGTTATCTGATGGCCAATCTCGTTACATGTATACTCCTACATGCTTCTCCTCTCCCTCTCATGATTTTATAGCAAATCCCACACATCATATAATTTCCTCCCTGACCCTCTTGGTATATGTCTGTAAAAGATACGATTCTTGTTTGTTCTTTCAAGATAAGGTCTCTGTCAACCAGGCTGGAGTTCAGTGGCATGATCTTGGTTCACTGTGGCCTCTCCTGCCTCAGCTTCCTGAGTAGCTGCAACTACAGACTCACACCACCATGCCAAGCTAATTTTTTAATTTGTATTTTAGTAGAGACAGGGTCTTGCTATGTTGCCCAGGCTGGCCTAGAATTCCTGGATTCCCATCTTGACCTCTGACACTACTGAGATTATAGGTGTGAAGCGCCATGCCTGGAGACAAGAACTCTTTAAAAAATATAATAATCCGAATACCATCATCAACCAACCATCTCACACCATTGCTCTTTATCACTGTCAACTCTCCTTCTAGCTCCAAATTTCCAGTCATTTCATGTATTTATTGTGTGAATCAGGATCCAAATAAAGTCTCTCCTTGGGATTGTTTGATTCACCTCTTAGGGTTTTCTTGATCCTGACAACTTCCCACTTTGATCTCTGTGCTGTCCCTTGCAGTCCATTTATTGAATAAATCAGGTCATTTCCCCATAGTTTGGATTATGCTAAATGTGTTCTTATTATGCTGTTTCTCATACTGTGAATTTTGCTAATTGTATCTTGTGATGTTGGTTAACTTGCTCTTCACTTTGTTCTAGCTTTGATAAATTAGTAGTTTGATCTAAAGACGTGGTGAGATTCAGGTTGGACTTGAGACTGTGCTAGTTTCTTCTGGGAGGAGTTGTGTAGTTTCTGGACATCTTTTTTTTTAATTGGTGATGTTAATGGCCATTGATCAATTATGGATTGAACAATGAAGGTATTGTTGTATCATTCCTTCTTCATTTATGAGCTGCCATACTTCCAGAAAGAGATACTGCTACCTGAAGGGCCTTGCATGAAGAAAAAAATGAAGCAGATGTAAAAAAGAGATGCTGCTTCTAATAAACTGTGTTACTCACTTGTACAACTTATATAGAAAATGCCAGTTCATGGCTTGATTTCTTCTGCTTAACCATTTTTCAAAATGATGGGCTGTTTCATTTATATCCTTCAATGGTGACCACTTGTATTTATTTATAGACAGGGAGGGTCTAGCTCTGTTGCCCGGGCTGGTATGCAGAGAAGCAGTCATGCCACTATAGCCTCAAACTTCTAGGCTCAGGTGACCCTCCCATCTCAGCTTTCTGAGTAGCTGGGACCCCTCATACTTGAGTAATTTAAAAAATGTTTTGTAGAGACAGAGTCCCCCTATGTTGCACAGGCTGGTCTTAAACTGCTGGATGAAGTGATCCTCCTAACTCAGCCTCCTGGAGTGTTGAAATTACAGGCATGAGGAACTGTGCCAGTCCACTTTTATTTTTTCAAAAGGATCATTATGAATGCAGATATTCAAACATATCTGATATATCTCAATTCACTGCAACTATTATCCTTATTAATGTATAAAATGTCCTATCTTTGGTTAGGAGTCCCTTCAGATTGGCCCTTCAGACATGTTGAAATCATCCTAATAATCTTTGATGGATTCTTTGCTATCTGGAGTGACAATATGTTCCAGGCTCCTTACACATTTCTGGCCTAGACCTAAAATCAGCACTTTCTCCAAGAAGGCTTCTTTTCTTTCATTGGGCAATGGTATTTTGAGACTATATTGAGACTACAATCTTGGTGCTGGGGTAAATAGTATAAGAAAACTGCCTGGCTCATGCCTGTAATCCTAGCATGTTCAAAGGCCGAGATGGGTGGATCACCTAAGGTCACAACTTTCAGACCAGCCCGGACAACATGGTGAAACCCCATCTGTACTAAAAATACAATAAATTAGCCAGGCATCATGGCAGGAGCCTGTAATCCCATCACCTTGGGAGGCAGAGACGGGCAGATCACAAGGTCAAGAGATCAAGACCATCCTGGCCAACATGGTGAAACCTCGCCTCTACTAAAAATAGAAAAATATTAGGCAGGCACAATGGCACTTACCTGTGGTCCCAGATACTCCGGAGGCTGAGGAGGAAGAATGCTTGAACCCAGGAGGTGGAGGCTGCAGTAAGCTAAGATTGGGCCAGCGCACTCCAGCCTGGTGACAAAGCCGGAATCCGTCTAAAATAAACAAATAAGCCAGTCATAGTGGCTCATGCCTGTAATCCAAGCACTTTGGAGGCAAAGGCGGGCGGATCGATCACCTGAGGGCGAGAGTTCATGACCCACCTGACAAATATGGTGAAACCCCATCTTTAAATGAAAAAAAGAAAAGTAAATAATAAATAAATAAGTAAATACATGCAAGACTGCCTCTAAATCATTATACAGATAGTTAAGAAAATGAATAAATGCAAGCCTGCACACAAAGTATAAAAATAATGTTGTGAGCCTGGGTCTAAATAAAATAAATGAGTAAATGTGAGCCCGCCTCTAAATAATCAGCTAGCAAGCTAGATAAATACATAAATCCAAGTCTGCCTCCAAATACTTAAATAAATAAATTCGGCCTGCTTCTCCATTACTACGCCAGCAAATAAATAAATAAATAACTGCAAGTCTGCCTCCAAATAAATCAATAGATAAATAAATCAATAAATAAGCAGCCCCACTTGGTGGCTCATGTTTTTAATACCCCACCCATTGGGAGCCTGAGCTGGCTGTATCACCTGAGGTCAGGACATTGAGACCAGCCTGGCCGAAACAATCCTTGTGTCTATTTTTTTAAAAAAAGGTAAAAATAATTAAATAAATTAATTAAAACATAAATAAATAAATGCAAGCTGGCCTTCCTGTCTCTAAGTAAATAAATCAGAAACTTTGTAAATAAGTAAATAAAGGCTGGGTGAGCTGGCTCAGTCCTGTAATCCCAGCACTTTGGGAGGCCAAGACCGATGGATCACGAGGTCAAGAGATCAAGACCACCCTGGCCAACATGGTGAAACCTCATCTCTACTAAAAAGATAAAAATATTAGCCAAGCTCGGTGGCACTTGCCTGGGGTCCCAGATACTCCAGAGGCTGAGGAGGAAGAATCACTTGAACTCAGGAGGTGGAGGTTGCAGGAAGCCAAGATTGGGCCAGTGCACTCCAGCCTGGTGACAGAACAAGACCCCCTCTAAGATAAATAAACAAACGAACAAACAAATGCCCTATGTCTTAATAGTAAATTGTACTGTTAGGTCTTACAAAAATAAGGGAATGTTCTGCAAGATGGAACAAAATCGCAAATTTAGATCTTTGTAATTTTTATTGTTAATTTTCTATTATAGAATAACACTGCAGCACCCTAAAACATATATAAGAGGGAAAAATCATTCACAATGATTATAGCCTGACATTAACAGTATTTGCATTTTTGTGTTTCCCAAGCCTCTATTTTTCTGTGGATGTTAAACCATGGCTCTAGCTATAATCCTTATGTATATGAGTATTTCTATGCATATTTCATAAGGGTCTAATCTTAGTGTGCAAACAATTTTCTATCTTTTCTACCATACTATCTAATATATATATAACACACACATGCATACATATATAGATAAAATTGTATAGGCTCACTAATATTTAGTGACTAAATAATTTTCTATCTTGTGATGTCATACACATATACACACATATGATGCCATGTGATTGCTCAAAACATTAATTTAGTGAATGAAATTTAATGAAATATATAGTTATTGCTGACTGTTACTATTAGTTGCCTTCCATTGTTTATCATGATGAATTATGCTGAAATCATTATCTTTATGTACCTAAAACTTTTTTCGTAATTTGAATTGATTTCCTAGAAAAACTCTAACAAATAGATTTACTCTATCATAGGTTGTAAACATTTTATGATCCTTGATAAATTATGCTTTTCCAGATGATAATTCACATAAATACAAATGACGTCTACAAGATTGCATCTTGACACAATTGGCACCATCACTAATTTTCCCAGTGCTAATGGTGTGTACAAAAAAATGCCAACTAGTTTTAATTTGCATTAATTTATAAAAAGGATAATTATTTTATACATTTACTTAATTTGTTCCTCAATGTTATATAAAATTTCAAATGGCTTCATTTTGGAGCTCAGATATATATGTATTTTTATATAGTTATATACAAATGATACACATATAATTTGCCTATAGGGTTTTAAAAATCAAATCATAAGGATTGTTGAGAGATATTTAATTTTGCTAAGTTTGCCATAAGTATTGTACCAAATTATTTATTACCTTTTTTAATACAAGTTTAATATTTTTACATTCTTAAAT